TTCTGTGGCTACTGGACTTGTCTCACAGCCAGCGGCGAGGATGATCCGTTTGCCTGTGGAGAAGGTGAAGAATGTCACCTGTTGAGTGCTCCGCCGCCTCCACCTCTCTGTCTCACTCCGCCGTGCTATGCACGAGCTCAGTGCGTCAACGTGAGCTCGACCGAGATGTCGTCCATGCCAACAGCTCCACTCGGACTACCACCAGCATTGCCAGGATGCAGACCTGCCTCTGTTCGACTTACAAATCAATGCGCACGGCTAGCAATAGTTGTATCACGTTCTCGACTACCATACGGAGTGACCGTAGAAGACTTCTGCAACTCAGTGAGAGCTCTTCCTGCAGTGGAACAGACCCGAGCATCATCGAATGAGGGAGGACTTCTGGGAATGAGTTGCGGCCTAGCTGGAAGGCAACCTGACTATCCATCCGATCTCGCTTACATTGAGGTTCGTCATCTCCTCTTTACCTGCCAAAGTCGGATTTTAAGCGTGCTTTTGAGGGTTTTTATTCACTCGAAGCCACAATAGAGTGATAACAGCAAATCTGCATTGGTAATACAACGATTTGGCTTGTAAGAGTTTTTTTACAGAAGTGATGGAAGACAATTAGAGATATAGGGGTCCACTTAAAATTTCGGACCATTCAAAGTAATTTCTATGTGTTTGATCAAAAGATTGCTCACATTTCTCATGCTTGGCAATTTCACACCTTTTTTCATAACATCAACTACAGAAGCACACCTGAAGAGTCGTTAATCTGGAAAAGCCTTCGCTTTACTCCGATAGAGTGATCGTAGGCGCTACTCTGGGCACTGGTGCCTTCCTCTGCAATTCTTTATAAGAAAGTCATTTCTGACAGGCATTCTAACGGCTACTAAGTCAGACAGGGAGGCCAAGGATGGGGTGGGGTGTGGTACTCCCTGCGATTCGTCGTCACACCCGTCTGGCATCGCGTTCGAATTTCATTTCTGCCTTCCACCTGCAAGCGACATTTCCAGTATTCACTATGCATTAAAATGATTTTGACCAGTGCCTTACTCCCTCAAGGACAGCACAAAGACAATTTTGCACAGTTGATTACACTCAAGACCAAAATTTAGTGGCTCCGAAACTGTGATATGTTTATTTTTGTCTAAAAATTAAGTTGAACAAAATGAAGCCACTACAAATTAATCTTGGAAAAGCAGTCCGCAATCGTGTCTTAGTTATCCTGCCGCCTAAACAGTAGTCCCTGTAAGCGTCTACTTATGTACTTATTTCCCTCAGCATTCTTCAAGCTAATTTGAAGCAAAATGTGCAATGGTTTTAAGTTATTTCCTTTGCCATATCTTGCAAATGTTCTTCATGTGAATGTAGTCTTCCACTGCGAGTAAAGAGTGGTCAAAGGTCGTGAATGGATTGTGAGATTCATCTTCGGAGTGAAAAATCAGTGGGCCACCAAATTTGTATGGTTTTTGGGGAAGCATGCTGAAACGCGAACATGTTGCGGCATCTCGAGACTCCCTTTCCGGTAGTAGAAGGCATTGGGCATGGTTAGGTGCCTGCGCTCAGACAGAAGGGGCCAAGGGCAGTCAACCCAACAATGGCCAAGATGAACACCAGTTGTACAGACAGCCAAATTAATTAAATATTCCACTGCCCTTTCTTCATTTGAGT